TTATAGCCATGCCTTAGTGCAGAATAACAATTTATTCCGTATTAGTTTGTTCATTTAAGTGTATCGTAAATATCTGTGTTCTACCGTATATGTTATTACTGATACCGTATATATTTATGATGGATCATATATGTAGTTACTGATATCCTATATGAATGTATTGTATTTGAATGGACACAACGTAATTTTGTCGTCTCTTGGTTGATGTATATGTTGGGGTGTAGCCTCAGATCCGTTGGCACATTCCACAGTATAAGTAATTTATGTATAAATTAAACCGCTCTGGCGCTGCATGGAATTTTCATTGTATTGATGCTTGCAGGGTTACATTGTGTGTAGACAGATATGGATATGATGAGACGCTTCATACTGAGACCAATTCATTCGTGTATATATCTCACGAACAGGCTTAGACAGTGATGTGATGCATAATACCTTGGCGGGAATAGCCGAGCTTGGTCGAGTGGCTACGAATTACGGTGTCGATGCGTATCGCAAAGTACGGTCCGGGCAAATTATGAGTAACAAATACACCAGACCAGACGATGTGGTATGTAGATTCATTTTAGGCCTTGTTCCTACATACTTTCTCACTGCTTACTCTGAATTGCTCACATCTGTATCTCGATTACGTATTTTCTGCCATTATTTGAATATAAATGCTGTATATATTTGGTAACTTTGTGACGACATAAATACGTCTGTTTCTGTCTAGGTCGGAGAAAAGGCTGAATTTATCGATGAAAAAGCTGGGTGCTATGCTTGCAAGCAGCCCTGGGACTGGACCAGGCGGCAGCATCACTGTCGCAACTGCGGACATGGGTTTTGCTATATTGACCTCGACAACGAAGACTTCGTGCCGGCGTACGGCTATTCGGATTCAAATCTCACCTGCGACGCTTGCCATATCGGTCAGTAAGTTTGTGTATTGTTTGCTAAACGTATCAACTGGTCTGTACTCGGTTGGTTTAATGTGTATGTATTTATATGCTCGCTGTCTATCGAAGTATCCTTAGAGTGTCATTCACTCAGACAAAATTAAAATGAATATACGAAGTTTGCTCGCTGTGTGTTGAATTTTGTGCAGTGTATATGTTCTGGTCTCAGAGCTGATACAAACGCTCAGTACACTAATCAGCACCCACCACGGACGTCCGTCAACCACCGCCGACCATAAATCACTTACCGTCCCCAGCGATACGAATGGACGCCTACAGAAAACGCATCCGATTCCGTCACGAACGGCTTGACTCTTACTATAAAGACGAGCTCAAACCCTACGCCACAGAGATAGACGATCGAGCCATGGACAAGTTCCTACGTGGCGCGTACTTCTCTCTACAGGCTGCCAAGGTCGTGCCGGGTATATCCCAGGCCGCTCAAGCCATTGATTTCTTCCTGACAAAAGGTGGTGTTACCGTGAGTCAGTTGGTATCGCACTCACAGTTCTCGGAGACATCGGCGCTGGTCAAACAACTGACAGGGTCACTGACTGAGAATGTGCCCATGACAGAGCTCGTGGGCGGCATGTACTACCTCTCGGCCAAGAAGTAAGTCATACAATTACGTAAAGATACGCACACATTAATAGCAATACTTTCTATGGCAGGCTGAGCATCAGTCAGCTCACATTTTGTTTGGATAAACCCGGTACAATGACTTTGCGATGATGTCTTCGAGTTTGTGTAGGCATACTTGTGCGAACTTATAATGCACTTTGATTTGTATACATGGCCACCTTCCTCTTGTCACAAGTGATACAATCTATGTACCTTGCATTGAACCTGCTAGCACTCGTAATATTTAGTTTGAAATGTTCCTCGACGACTCTTTGTGGTACGTATTGTGCTGTGGTGATGGGATCAAGGTAGTTGTATTAAATCTGTGCTCGCATACCATCTCACAAGTTTAATTCACCCAGTACTTCTACGAGCTAACCATCGCTGGTTTGAGGTCTTGACCATATCTATCGATTTGTGTCTGCTCAGATATTGGGAGAGAGGAGTTAATCCAGAACAGGAGTTCGAGAATCATAAAGACAACAAAGATATCGAGCAAGACACTTGGGACAAGTTGCTAACCATGGCCCCTCATGCTCTGATGTTCAGGTCTGTATGGTCAAGCGAACACTGACACTCTGTGCATGCATGCGATCTTTCATTCTGTGCAATCCCTCTACATATGGAAGCATACGCTTCAATTGAGTCGATTGCTTCTCAATCACGCAAGCTACATTTAACCATTGAACTATGCGTGCCACGCTCTAGTCTTACTTCCCTCGCGCAACGTTCGCTGATACTAATTTGTCCGCAGCTACATCCCAAAATGCAAAACCCTCGTACGCCCGAGACTCTAAAATATTGCTGCTTATATTGCGTCCATAGTTATCTGGATAACGAGGCAGATGTCGAGCGCATGGTCAATTCCCTCGGGCACGACCTAATCTTCTCGGAGCCCATTGCGAGCCACACACAGCCAGCGCTATATCTTTCAGTGCATAGGGATAGTAAGAAGGCTTATTTGGCTATACGAGGTACCTACAACAACGATGATGTGCTGACTGATTTGATGGTGGACGGCACCACATGGCCCCCACGGTTGGACTTTGTGACGCAGACTATGACTACGGGCGAGGTTGAGTCCGACACGACCCAGGCAGAACAGAAAGCGGCCCGTGAAAATGTAGGTGTCGAGGATGATTCATGATTGCTTGGTCATGGGTGAAGTTGAAGGTAGACACTAGTCACTGGTGCTCACTGTGTTTCATGTCTATCTTAACCCAGTTTACACATGTGCTGCGGTAAACTTCAGTTTTTTTTCTCTCACTTTCGTTCGTCGTTCTTCCTCTCTCCGTCGGTGGCCCGTAGGACACCTGCATCACGCACCTGGGCGTGACCAAATCCGCTGTGTGGATGTATCAAGAAACGCACGAGGTTTTACGAAATCTGCACGACCAAGGCTATCAGATATATGTCACGGGGCACTCCCTGGGTGCCGGTTGCGGGACTCTGCTGACGATGTTGCTGTATGATAACGGCGTTTCAAACATCCACTGCTATGGCTTCGGCAGTCCGGCGATTGTGACGCGTGACTTGGCAGAGAAGTACGATCACCTGATCACGTCGTTGGTGTTCCATGATGGTATGCTGCGAATAAAAAATTCAATGCAATGTCATAGTATGTATTGATAGCGATTGAGCTGTGAATTGCCTGTCGCTCGTCGGATGCTTCGTTGTCTTGGTTGCAGCGAGTTATCTGTTCTACACTAAACGTAAACATGCAATGAAACTTCCATCCAAACCAAGAGCATTGGTGTGTCAATTTTAATTTGCTTGTCCTATGTTATTGTTTTTTTTATACCGTACGTTTATACGAACTGGTACTTGCCTATATTTCAAGGGCATCGGAATATCAATCTTAATTCCTTTGCCATATGTTATTACATTTTTTGTACTGTACGTTTATATGCAATAATACTTACTTCTAAAACATGGGCATCGGTATATCAATCTTGTTTATTATTTTTTCTAAACTGTACATTTGTACGCAATGGGGCTTGATTCCAAACCAAGAGCATCGGTGTATCAATCTTGATTACTTTGTCATATATTCTAAGTTGTTAGCTCACGCGAGGTGCCATTCATCCAAACTCAATGCTTTTACCTCTCGACATCGAAATTATGTATCGTTGCAGATATGGTTCCGAGACTGAGCCACCAAAACGCTGTGAACATGGTGAAGGAGGTAATTCAAGAGGGGTATGTCCGTGCAACCCTTCCATAAAACTGGCATGATATTGGCAAAAATGTCTATTTTAAGTGTCACTAATACGGCCCAGTAGCTTTGTACTCATGCCCAGCTAGTTTGCCAGGGACAATTTGACCGGTTAATCAGCTTCGCCTCTGCAACTCACCAATACTCTCCATGCCTTCAAACTTGCTTGTGTGACTACAGAGACCAATGGCGCGAGACCTTTGCTCACGATGTACTGGCTTATAAGGTGAGCCTGACCGCTGTTCCACACCCGCACTGTGCCAGCTTGCTTTCTGTGTAATTGTGTTTTTCCCCAACATTGTAGCTGAGGGTTATAGTTCAAAGTGTAAAACGCGACAATGTTTGTGCGAATTGAGTTCTGAGCTTTAATTCAGTATTTACAAGAGTCCGAGAGTGAACTTTAACCTTTCCAAGCGTGCATAAAATCGAGGAAGGCATGGATACTCAGGAATGGTATATGTCTAGTATGAATACAATCACATGATCACCTCACAACAGCTAACTTCCATTTTAACAATCTACAGCACCGAGCAAAGGAGATTTGGCGTCCAAGGCGACGAGCATGGGCAGTATTGCGAAGCGAAACGCACGCGAATCTGCTGCGGGAGAAGAAAGAAGCGGAGGAGAAGCCTGGGTGGTTCACGTCAATCAAACAGTTGGTGAAGCCTGAGGAAGTCAAGCCCGGAGATAGTAAGAAACAGGGTGCCACGTCGTCGGCCACGTCGGCGTCTGTCTCCCAGCGGGTTTCACAGAAGGCGGAGAAGGGTAAATTGAACGAAAGAGAAGCGGCTAAGAAGAAGAAGACGGAGAGTGTACAAGTGGATGAGGGTCAGAGTGGAGTGCCAAAAGTCAAGGATGGCGGAGTTGCCGCTAAAAAACCGACAGAGAAGCCTACAGAGGAACAAGGTATGTAACTGCATGCTATTTACTTGGTTATGTTGACGTATGGCTTGGATGCCAGGCGATGGTTTTAGTCCCATTGGGTTAGTTAGGTGCAGTTATGCTCTTGATGAGTACCCAATGGCTTGTCGCGTTGTTCAGAAAGCTTTACTTATCCGTTTTAATATTCCCGTACAAAGTCAGGGTCTTGCATGCTTTGAAATATTATGGAAGGCTTCATAAAGTTAAGCTGGCCACTTATGTTTTAACAATTGTGTACAGAATTGTTCGTATATCAATTAGAATGGCATGTAATTCTGCTAGACACTTAGTTAATCCGTACAAGTATCGAGGTTAACTCCCTGGAAAGTCACATGAATCTGCTTGATACTATAACGTTCTTCACGAAAACAATGCTTTAATCTCCGGAATAGGCTTCCTGGCGTCGTTATGGGGTGGTTTCACGAGCAATTTCGATCTCTCTTCAACATCCGCGTCCACTAAGCCGAAGGCAAAGAGCAAACCTAGTGCCGTACAAACGAAGGCCAATAATACAAGCAGCACAACTGGGTCTAGTGCAACCAGTAAGGAGACGCAGACCGCAGTGGGGGTCAAAGTAACGGTAGAGACCACACAGGTGACGAAGGATGCTGAAGGGGCTGTGCAAGAGACGGAGACCGTGAAAACTCAGGCAGTACAGGAGAGTGTGGCGCAACCTAAAGGTGCAGAGAAACCGGCAAAGTTGAATAATTATATACATATATATATATATATATATATAATACACACACACACA